ATGATAAAATAGCAACAGATCAAGAAAAGACAAAACGTACCAGATTAAGGATTTTGGCGTCCTCCATACTCTTTTTCGTCTGAGTTTGCTTCAGCTCTTTTGTCTCGCTCTCTAGTCTTAGTTTAAGACCTTGCATTTGTGCCTTCTGCGCGTCGAGCAGAAGTTTCCTAAGAATATTATCAGACTCATGCCTAAATTTTTCTAATAAGAGATAGAAACAGATAAATATTTTTATTTCTAACATAGTGCAGATAAAAGTACGCAACTTCGCTTTAGAAAGAATCTTTTTCAAAGTGTCCTTGGCCAAAAACCCAACTTTACTCTATAATGTCTTGCATTCAAAAAAGGGGATTAGTTTGGGGAATCTGAATAGACTGTTTTAAAATTGATTATCACCTGAGTGTTTCAGTTTGCTCACGTAGTTGAGCTTTCCGCAACTCGAATTCTTCCGCTTCGTGCCGCCTCATCATTGCAGACCATTCGTCTGTTTGAACATTAACAAGAGATCGTACCTGAATTCAGCACCCAAAAATCTACAAAGGTTAATGGTTTAAATGATGCAATGCTTCCCACTCGGTCATTGTTTGCCATGTTACTGGCACTAGCAGAATCGAAGTTCTCGCTCGCCTGCCGTCTAGCTCCCTTTTCCTTTCTCGTAGATCGGCGGTTGTTCGTTATCAACTTGTCCACATTTGTTTGCTGCAATACCCTTCCAGATGCTACAGTGAGAATTGATCACAAACTTTTGAGTTTTCCACTAAATCTGGTCACAAACTCTAACACGGTGTAGACGTGGGTAAATAGTGTTAGATCCCCCGCGATTAAGACAGATGTAGTCACAGCTTATATACAAAAAGCTTGCACGACAAACTCAAGGCACTCTATATGCTCCACATGAAGGACGCTTTTTATCGATATGACAATCAACAGTAGATAAGACTAGCGTCGCGTATGGTAATTGCAACTATGCAGTTAGTTTCAAACCAACCGCATTACGATGAGTTTAACTAAAAGCCAAGAAGAGAAGGTTAGAAGCGGTAACCTTAACAAGTGAAAACTTACAATCCAAGCGATGGAAGCACGTCTGCACGGCTGTAAGCATTATCACTAGCTGATTCTCTAATGCAGGAAAACACTAACCGTTAACTGTGGAATGAAGGTGAGACTTGGTTGTAAAGATAAATTACACCTCTGACCAGCAGAGATATATATATATAT